ATAATAATCTGGCCACTCAATGTAGATTTGTCAAATAGGTATCCATCCACTGGGTTTTAGGGCCGGTTCACACCACATGCCATTAGATTTTGCGATCACACTGGACTGGAATGTGGGCATTGCTGTGCCACGCGTTTTGGTGCGGGTGATCACACTGCAGGCGGTGTGGGCTGCAGCGTCATTGGCTTGAATGCACCACCACGTTCCCTCCTGCCCCAGCATGCAAGGAGGTTTTTCTAAGGCAATCCACTGCGTTCCAGCAGCTAACCGCACTGCAACGCACTGGAGGTGGTGTGAACTGGCCCTTAAAGTGGAACTGCAGGAAGCTTTTATGCAAAATTACCACTTGTCTTGATACAGGCATCCATACTGGATATCCGTATGGCCTCTTGGGATGCTGAAAATCATTGTGGTAGTCTGCACTACATACAGCGATAGCCCTGATCTTCCAGGCAACAACTCCAGCAATTTCCCCTTTGCACACTGAGCAAAGTCACTTCCTCAGCACTGCCACCATTTAGAGAATGCCTTGTATTTGTTTAATGAATAAAAGGCGTACTCTTATTGGATAAGGGGGTGATCCTGATGTCATCCACCGCTCCTCTCCACCTCTTCCAATCAAAGAATGCCTTGTATTCACTGAGAAAAATAAAAGGTGTTCTCTGAATGGCAGTAGTACCAAGCGAGCAAACTCCCTGTGCTCAGTGTGCAGAGGGGAAGCCCCTGGAGTTAAGGACAGTGGCTTCAGGGGAGGGGAAGCTATTGTATGTAGCGCAAACTACTACAGTGATTTTTAGCATCCCCAGGGTCTATCTGGATATAGGATATGGATACTGACAGAGCAAAGCTGGACCACTAAGTTTCAATAAAAGATTATTCTGCTTTGAAAACAAGCTATATTTTAATACAACCCTATAAAATAATGAGGGTATCAGAGGGTCACCAAAAAGTTCAACTTATCCCCAAATGCTTAGTGACCACTAATACAGCCATTCCCATCCAGGATTCCTTGAGCTGTGGTGCTTGCATAGTTCCAGGGGGTGACTGCATGATGTCAATGATCTTATCAGTAAGGCTCTGTTCACACCTGGGCGTATCGATTATGCACGTGTGACGCAAATTTTTACCGTAAAAAAACCGTGCGACAAACGCACGTTTCCGACGGCTACTTGGCTGTATCCCAATGGAAATGCTCGACAAAAACGCCGCAAAGAAGCTCATGTACCTTTTCAGGAGTAGGTCGTTTTGTAGTGCGTTCAGACGTGCTGAAATACGGCAAGGTGTGAACCATACCCGTAGAAAACAATGGGATTTTCATGTTTGAGCGTTTTGTAGAGCGTTCGTAGAGTGTTGAACGCGCTATAAAAGCGTACAGGTGTGAACCAGGCCTTATGGGTAAGGGTTAGCATACATTTTACAATCTGATTGTACAAGCTTTGTACAATCAGTTTTAGACTTATCAAAGCCATGTAATACTGTGTCTAAACAATTTGTATTGACCACCAATGTAAGGGGCATTTTTCCCACTGACATAACCCCCTACCCAAAAAAATAGTATTAGCAATATCTCCTAGAACAGTGGTTCTCAAACTGTGCAACCTCAGGACCAACAATTGTCCTTGGCCATGAAGTCGCGACCCAAGTCGCACAGCATTGCAGTACCGTGCGTTCCAGAGCAGGGGGCGTTCGAACTGTGGGTGGGAGGTGCATTTGGGGTGCCAAGACTAGCAACTAGCAATAAATAGTAAAGTCAGGGCGAGGTGTATTTTATGTTTTTTTTAATAAAAATTATATTTGCTGAAAACCTGACATCCTTTGTCCGCTCTGCCAAAGTAACATACACATGTGCAATGAGCCCAGTGCACAATGCTGCAATTATACAAACAAGGCTATTCACAAAGGGGTGAGGAGTTTGGAGAAGGCAGGAGAAGTGAACAATCTAGGATAACATAGCTGAACTGGAAAGTGGCCTGAATTGGAGAATGTTTCCAAATCTGCTATGTTGTCCTAGATTGGTCACTTCTCCTGTCTTCTCCAAACTCTTCACCATATAGTGATTAACCCTGTAAGTCTTCAGTAATCCTTACATTCACCTCTTAGCCACATTCACACTTCCGTACAAGCGGTTTCATGCATTTTTCAGGCTTCAGTGTTTTTAGTTCAGCCAATCAAAAGTTAGTTACTAGGAGGAGACTGTTAGGTACAAAATTGCTCAAAGAACAATAACAACATGTGTTCTCAGAGTGATGAAATCTCTTACAATGGATGTTCAAAACTCTAGTTTCTTGCAGAATCAGCTGTTCCCTGAGCACTGGTCCAGATATCCTGTTTTAGGGTGGCTCCTTTCCCTTGCAGTGTCCTTTGGAGTCACCCTTGTGTGTGCTAGTAAGCTATATGTGTCTTCATAGACACACAGGCACAGCAAGGTAATACACTCCCCTCCTTCCTGCTCCTCCCTTCTCCTTCTTGTTGTGTGTTTCCTGAAGCACAAGAACTCTCTGCAAACCCATTCATTTTAATGGTGACCATTCACACCTGAGTGCTATGTTGCATGTTTCCTGAAGTGCATAACGCTTAACATGTAGAATTCCATCTATTTCAATGGTGCCCAGTCACACGTGATCATTCACCTGACACTTGAAAAAAATGCATGCATTTTTCTTTTTTGAAGGCAGATTCATGCCTAGGACGGCTATTTATTATCACTCAGCTGTAGATTCTCTGAACTGGTGCCGACATTGTCCTTCCTTCTGGAGGGTGGCTACTTATTTATTTATTACAGGTATTTATATAGCACTGACAATTTACACAGTGCACATTCACATCAGTCCCTGCCCTCAAGGAGCTTACAATCTACAATGCATACTAGGGATGTTCAGATACCAGTGCAGATACTTGGCATTTTCATGAGAACTACCCGGGTTGCAGCGGTTGCAGCTGGGACCTGGCTCTGGCGCTCTACCACTGTCCTGAAATCATTAGTCTGTATTGTTTTAGAAAAACGGGTCACATGGCAATAAACAAAAATGTATCAGTACTCGCAAAACTGGTATCTGTGCATCCCTTTATTTATATCTATAAAAACAAAATTGTACATTAAAATAGAGATGTACAAACCCCAGGAGCTCCGTGTGCTCCTTACAAATGACAGCTGCCTCCTAACTTTTTAATTTTTCTCTAGTCTTGGAGCTGGAAAACTATCTGTACTTGTACCGAGTACGGTACTTGGTATCTGAGCAACCCTAAAGCATACATACGAGGGCTGATTTAGACAGGAGCCAATAAATGTTCCTGCATGTCTTTGGTGTGGGAGGAAACGCACACACACACAGCGAGAACAAGCAAACTCTGTGCAGATCGTGACCTGGCTGGGATTTGAACCGGGAACCCCAGTGCTGCAAGAAAAAAGTGCTAACCACCAAGCCACTGTTCTGACCACTTCTTTTGTTCCCCATGGTCCCGTAATGGAATACAATCTCATGTTGAGTTTAATAATTTGTATTGAGATTGTAGTCCATCATACGAGGAAGCTTGGAGCAGTGACTACTTTACAAACACACACAGGGACCATGGGGAACAAAAGTAGCCACCCTCCAGAAGGAAGGACTGTGTCAGCACCAATTCAGAGATAATTTGAGGATCTACAGCTGAGTGATGCACAAATAAGATACATTGTTGTTAATAGTTAAAAGGTACCTGAATGTATTTGTAAGATTTAACTCCTGAGTTTAGTGCCACCTTAAAAATAAATGGGATTCTTTAGGTTGGACATTGTGGCGCTTCAGGAAGAACACAACAGAACCATAAAGAAAATACCAGGATTCTTCACGCTCAACATTGTCACACTTTGAAGCTCAGAATGAACATGGGGGGGGGGGGGGGGGGAG